CTCCTAAGATTCTGTGATTCTGTGATTCCACTTCACAGTGTTTTAAAACACCTGAGTTCTCTATCCTTTATAAAACTTGGGATCAGCAGTATCACTATTTGGAAAGCATACAGTTAATAAATCCTTTAAAGGTAAGTTAGTAATACAGCTTACACATTTGGGATTTCAAAGAGGTAATGAATTTAAACACATTCTCTGACTTTAAAATGTTTCCCTGGTAGGCAAATGGGGAAGTCTTCCATGTAGGCAAGTGTGATTTCCTTACAGATGCAGAAAATATTGGAGTACATATTCTCAAAAACTCTTAATAACTCAATGTCAGTACATTAAGAGATATTTTAACATGCCTATCAATAGCAGGAGAAATTTAGAAGCCTGTAAGTTTTATTGCACTTTTGAAGAGACCATTTTCAGGTGTTCTCTTTAGCTAAGTTTTATGAACGCATTAAACTCAGTTCTCAGCAAGTGTCCTGCTTCTCTCTTATTCTCTGTAGAGTCATATTTATGTTTTCAGCACCGAGCGTTGTCACAGAGAATAAACATCCAGCGTCTGCTCTACCTGCTCTTCAGCATGATCAGCTTGTAATCACAAAGCATGTTGCAGATTTGTTTATATTTTTGATAACCCTGCTGGCAGTCTGGTAAGAGTCGAGACGGAAGGAAAAGGGAGGACATGCAACGTTAACTCACAGGGAGGTGGAAGAAAACGAACATTTTCTGACAAGCGGTTTGCCCATGTTAAAATGTTCCTCACACACGAGTGATTTTCTTAGATGGCACTTCCTATCCAAATCTGAAAGACGAGTACACTCTTGGCTACTAGTGATGTGGTGGGTGCTCTGTCACATGCATCAGGCACTAAACAAAGTATTATGCTTATTGTGTAACCAAAAGCACCACAGTTAACTGATTTAAAAAAAGAAAATTACAGGCTGATTTAACTGGAAAAAAAAGGAAATTTTATCCTAGTGATTTTCTGGTGAACCAAGAAAATGAATTTTAATTTATGTATTAGGTATACACTGAAATATTTTATGCAGATAAGCAGAATATTAGATGAGGCATATATTGCTTCGTACTGTATTTGCTTACTCTGACAAAATAGTCTTCATTTATCCTTATGTCTCTTTTGTTGCTGAAAATAGGAAGAAACCCACTGAATTAAGTATTTGTAACAGCGTAAATGAGATCAGATGCATGCGTCTAGTGTGCATACTGACACTCTCGACGTATAGGTGCTAAATAAAACTAGTGGACCATAATTAGTTCTCACAACCATCAGGCCACTTCTCCCTGCTTCGTGATAACTCTGCTAACACCAGATTCAGTGACTGCCCATCGGTTCCCGCAGGGTGACAGAGGGCAGATGTAGCAGCTGTCACACCATCCGACTTCAACCGCAGGAATCTGGCTGTGGAAAAAAGGGAAAAATCCAGTCCCTCTTCATATCTTCACAGCTGCTGGCTTCTAGAAATTTTTCTTGGCATGTTGTTAACTATTGTAAAATGGAGCAGCTTTCTGTTGCATCAAGGCTAGGGAGCTGTGAAAGCTGCATGCAACAATTTTTGCCTGCCTGTATTCATACTTCAGAGTTATGATAAGAATCCTCTTACGATATAAGTAATTGAGTCATTATAATTCATAAATAGGCAATTTGGGATGATTGATCATCATTATGACCTTGACAGTTCAAACTGTCCACCGCTGGAAATGGGAATTATCTCTATTTCACTGCGTGCAAAAGCAATACTGGATTGTGCATTCTGTGATAACAGAAAGGCACGGAATTTGAATATTATTCAAATTTATGACCTGTGCAGTGCTTTAAGCTTAACATTCTGGACTAAGGATTTTTTTTTTCTGTTTTCTTATCACTAGGTTTTATGATTTCTAATGGCTTTCAATGGAAATAGATTAAACCACAGCTTTTGAAAACTGTCTATGTATTAACTTGAAAAGATTGAGTTGTATGACCGTAGAAAAAAACAATTCACTTTGTGAAACCAGTGTAAAGGAACTTTAAATGAAGGATAATGTACCTTTACTGGGCTGTGCAGTTCACTAGAAATCTTTTTTTTTTTCAGGAATTCCAGTTGATGTTGCAGTCAACATCTTCATTAACAGCTTTGGGTCAATTCAAGAGACGACTATGGTAAGACTGAAATTAAATTACTATAGCACACATGGAAATTCTCATATTAAATTAAATTTCAGGCTGAGGATTATGAACTATAAAGTAGAAATAATGGTTATGATTGTAGACACTGAGAATTGAGTTACAAGGGATAGTGATAGCCTGACTGTGCTTTATCATAAACCTATTAATCTGTTTCACTCTTTATTTGTCCACACATTGTCACAGCTTTCAGAATCTGAGGTACATGAAAGCAAATCCGTGTTTGCTAAGATGCAAGAAATACACTTCTTTCCATAAGTTATTAAGTTCAGGGGAAGAATTAATCTGATAGTGTGAATTAAGTAATCTTCCTGAGCATTAATATGTAGGTTGCTTGGTGTGTTACTAAAGAAAATACTACAACAGTACACGAGAGAAGAAGAACATCCATGCATGAGGCTGAATGATACAGGTTCTCTGTTTTGTGTAGACCTGGGGTTAGGAGTAAATTGTGGACGAACAGAAAGAGAAGTAGTAAAGGACATAATTTCTTGCCAGTATATGGGAAGCCACAGCCAGGGCATGCACTCATTGTGGGAGTTCTGAGACGCCCCGATCATCTCATTTCTAAACAACGTTGGTGTTCTGCTGCATCCAGAGCACTGAGGCAGTTCCCAAAACCAGGCTGCTCTTTTTAGTGCTGTGGCTAAGGTAGAATCCCTACTCGTAATGGCACAGAAGCAAAAACCCATAATATGGCTAATAAATAATAAAACACCTCCTGTTGTCAGTGGAAGTAAGTACCCACTGAAATGCAGCACCAGCTCACATCATACCCTAATGACATTTCAGGAGGACTGCAGAGCCACTCGAAGTTAAACATTTGTGATGGCTGAAACAGCTTTTGAACAGCTTGGCCAGACATTTCTGTTTCTTTAACTAGAAGTGAATAAAGATTTAGATTTGATTGCAAATGATAGTGAGTCAACTAATGGCATTAGTGGGAAGTGATATTAAAACAAAGAATGTGAGCATGCCGAAGATACCTCGAGATTTATTTCCTGAAAACAAAAAGAGGACTGAAGTTTAAAGAGGGGCAGCAAGGAAGAGCAGGAAAGTAGGAGTGAGATAAGTGTCTAAGATGGCAGGTATATTAGGCCAGATGGCCCTTTCAAGTTTCTGAAATTTATTGCATGCTTTAAAAAGTTACTTTTATAGAGGCTTTTTAACAATTCACCCAGATCCAAATAGTAACAAAACATTAATGTAAGGGGTGTGCTTCCCTCCTCCCCCAAAATTAAATATGCTCCCAACAGCAATGTATGTATATGCCTGAATTCCTGATATGTTCACTCACAAATTTACAAGGATGTTCTGTAAGATAAGCCATGCTCTCCTCAGTATTTCAGAACTTCAGGCATCATGCTGACTTTATGTTTTTATTTAGATTTCTGATCCCAGCTGATCACCATGATTGTTAAGCATGTTTATGGGAATTTTGGATTACTTCTTGGTTGCCTTAATGTATCACAGGCAGCACTGACAAAAGAAATGGTCAACGTGTTCTTCTATGTATCACTTGGGAAACTCTTCCTGCTGCAGTGGGCATTGGGTCCTGTGGACATTTGGGAACCACTGTTCTCCTGCGCATAGACTGGTACTTCTCTTCAGATGGTCTGCACCAGAGAGTAGAAGCAAGTCCCTTAGACTAGGAAAAGCCAGAATCACAGGAAAAGTGTTTCTTGGAGCTGAGGCATCAACTGCCTGAAGGGCCAGAGGGGCCTTTTGCATCCAGAAAGGAGAGACATTTCCAGGAGGTAACAGAAATGCTGAAAAAGGTTCCCCAGTGTTGGAGAAGAGAGTGACTGTCTGCATCTCTGCTGTCTCAGGCATTTTTGTGAATCATGATGAATATTGATTTCCTGAATGTCTCTAAAGGTACCAGAAGATCCTAAACTGGTTGTAGTGATATCATTACTGATACCAAAATCTGTGACATAATAAATTTCTAAGTATTTCAGTTGATGAAGTACTGTGGTGATTCTTGGCTCTGTAGCCACTTCATAATTTTCACAAAATCTATGCAGGGTTAACACATCCTGTTTTAGCCATGCTAAAGGGATGATTCCTTCTTTTTCATGATGGAAGGAAAAACAGCCATGGGTACCAGATGAGTGGAAGTGAGGTGGTGGTAGAAGGCTTGACAAACATGTAGAGTGCCAGTGAGAAAAAGCCATTCAGCATGCTGATCTCCTTTAGTTCAGATGATGTTAAAAGAGATGCCAAAATACCCTCAAGATATCCTGTATCCCACCCTTAGATCCCTCTCTGAAGTAGCCAACTCTGGGCTTAATGTCTGGAACTTCTAACTAGTCAACAGGCTCCCACAGTGTCCCTCGCCTTGACATCGTGGGGGCTGGTTCTGATGGTTCCTCTTTTTTTTTCAGGAAATCCACAGAGTTATTTTCAATTATTTTTTGTGTGCAGTCCTTCTGGTCCTGGGACGATTGCATTCTTAGCTATGCAGTTGGCTCATCCTCAACAAAAGGGAGTAGAGATTCCCTCCCGCTGAGGTAGAGTCTACTTAGTTTTAAGAGAGAGGGGAAATTCTTTATAGAAAAGCATCGACAGGTTTGAAATAATACTGGTTTGAAGCAAGATAGGACCCATAGCGTAAACCCTATGCCCAGAAGCCTGTATTGCTCGATACAGGCCCTTGTGAATTAACTGAAAGGTAAGTGTTTTTTCTGTGTCCAGAAAGGTAGTGTTTGTGTTGTGTTGGTGAGTACTTGAGGGAATTGCAGTGTTTTCACACATATATCAAGCAAGTTACCTAGAAAAACTAAACAAAAAAACAGTCAACTACAGAGTGAGTAAGAATTTATACAGCTGAAGTGGAGAAGAGCTTATACCAGAGCTGCTGCCTTCCAGTAAACTCCCTTTATCTTGAGCCCTGTAACTGGTTTCCTTCCAGCTCATTAGACTGCTTGTCTAATGAGGATCCCCACACTAACTCTATTTGATTTTGCAGATGTTTTTTTAGATGACAGATCTGTGAGATAATGTGGTGATTATGTCACATTTAGAAACTGTTACAGACTAAGTGACCAGCCAAGGATTCCTCGGGATAGATCCTTTCTGCTATAAATACCCATAGGGCTATATTATCTTCCTGTGCTGATGATCTGACTCTGTACTGAGTCTGTATTCAAGGTTTGTACTTGCACTGTAACCTATCTTCACTGACTCAGATGGCAAAACACCATTTCCTTCCTTTCGTTTACTTTAAAGCCTTGCAGAAAAGTCTTTTTAATAATTAATGTATATAAAGGAAAATTTGGCTTCCTTATTTTAATCTTAAAAATGCCGTTTTCTGCTTTATTAAAAAGCAGCGCTAGTATGCTTCCTTTGTTCCTTATGATTGCAGTTCATGTAGAAAAAGCCTTTCATGGTCTATGTGCTCCAGTTTGCAGAGAGATGCACTGGCTCTGCCTGGTTTCTGGCCTGAGGATGTATTCTGGCCACGTGCCCGCTGTTTAATAGGTTGCATTTGAAATAGTTCCTAGAATGCCTCCCCTTTCAACCTCCCTGCAAACAACTTGCCTTCTGCTGCAGTTCTGTGGGAAAACAAAGCCCTGTAGGTTACTTCCCTGATTCTTTTTACCTACCAGGTCCTCCTATCTTTAATGCTGATGAGTATCTCTTCCCCCCTGCCCTCTAGTTTTGGGCTTTTTAATTGCTATTTGCCTCACCTTTATTACAAGATGCCAATCATCCTGCAATATTCAAAGAGTGTTTCTAAAATGTATAGGAGGAAAAGCGTGTGCTTCATGCACACCACTTCCTCAGCCCCTATTGAGCGTAACTGTAGTCCTCATACTGAACCTTAAAATTGATTGCCTGAATTTGAGAGGACTGGTTGCAGACTTACTTGAAAATAGATTTATACCAGATCATGGTCTACAGTGCTGCCAGATGCTGTAACGGTTCATATTATTCTAAGAAGAAGCCCTTCTGCACATCACTGCCTGGCTGGCCACAGTTTTGTATCCTGACATCTCTTTGCTTCCTTCCATATTTTCTATATTGCCTGAAGTACACGCTGGCCTTCCTCTCCAAGTACACCCTGTCACAAGTTCCTGGTCATTTAGATAGGTCTGAACCTGTCTATTCTAGGTTAATACCAATTTTCTTTCATTTACTTTAATGGGAACAGAATCAAGTTCTTGAAATGTCACAACATTCCATTATTTGGTTTATTTACATGCATTTGTAATAGAGCAAGAAAGGAAATTAAACAGCATCCACTTGATCTTACTTCCAATTCTTATTTTGTAATTGCATTCTGCTTTTCAGTGATGCAAACATCTCCTTCATCTGAAGGGGTAAGCTGAAGGCAAGCATTGGACAGTGCTTATCATTTGCCTATGGCTTTGAGAAGGCATTTTATTTTGTTAAAATTAGGGTAATGCACTTGTTTATGAGGAAATTAATTTTGGTGTAATGAATAGTGTAGTGCTTGTGAGCACGAACGGTATGCAGTAATTATCTCATATGGTTTAAAGTAATTGTTTTCGCTGAGACAAGGAGTGCATGTGAAATGGGAGCTTCAGCAAGAAGCAAGTAAAGTAAATTTTCAATTATATACTTATAATTGAAAAGATGCTTTCTGAGATAGCGACCTGAATTCTCTCCTGTTCTGAAGCTTCTCTGTGAGAGCCTTCCAGTGCAAAGTCGTTTCATATCAACTATTACTTTATACTTCTTCTTTACTTGACAAGATAATATAGGTCTTTGTATAAATAAGAGTCAAACTACATTTATTTTTTTAAAAACAGACTGCCAACAAGTAACGTGTCTCTCAGAACTATGCATATTAATAAATATCGCCTCAGTTCTTTCTACTTAGTTTTAAAGCTTTGCTCTTCCTTCTGATGCAGTAAGGAAAAGTACTACACAGTACAGTGTAATAAAGAAATACCTGGGCTGATCTGGCTGGTGGACTGGACATGGGAAAGTGGGCACCCTATTCCAATTAACGGGGTAAATCAGCAGATAAATTATTCTGCATGAGGTCTTAGCCAAGAGAACTCCTTCCTGTTGGAGTTAGCATGACTGTCTCAACAGGGCACTTGCTTTGAGTATTTCTTAATGGTTACATTATGGTAGGTAAAGTGGAAGAGAATTCACGTTATACCAACAGACAATGTGTAAAAGGGCATTAACAGGTAAAATAAATAAACTTTATAAAATTAATTTGTTATGCAGAATACCTTGACAAACCAAAAATATGTTGAGAACCTTCACCCACAGCTTTCTAGCATTTTGTTAATAATTGTAAAGCAGCAGCAGTGTTTTCACTGCTCTAAAAGACACAGCCCTTATCTCAGGATGCTTTGTACCTCATAGACAACTGTGAAAAAACAAAACACACCATCTTAGGAAGACTGGAGTTAGAACTTACCTTAAATATAGAATTTGTGTATATTTGTTTGGTTATTTTACTTTATCTCAACAGTCCCTTTAGACTTTTTCTTTATATGATCTGCCTAGTTTACGTTTACATAAGAAAGAGGCACTGACTTAAATGTAAATGTACAAAGCGGAAAGACTTAGAGGTAAGGCTGAAAAATCCCAGCTGACATACTGGGTCAGATTTTTCCTTTGGATGCACACAGCTTCCACCGAGGACAGAGCCCGTGCGGGTATCGTTTTGCCCTGAGACACATGCTACTCCAGTTCCTAAAGGCAAAATGAGGTTCTTGTTGAGCATGGCTCTACTACTGTCCATCCTTGAG